CATCAGAAGAATCACTTTCCTAGTCTACTGTAGGGTAAGTCTCAAAATGATTGTTTTCACTGTGATCAAACTTGAAGTAATTTGTGTTAAATTTCAGTACAGATTTTGTTTGAAAGGACTGCAATTTGTTTATTTTATACATAATATTAGCTTGTATTTTAATTTCTCTTTTAGAGAAGTTCACCAAAATATTTCACATATCGTGCCAAGTTTGATGTAAGTATAGCACTGCATGATAATAAAATGAGTAATTCACTTTAAAAAGATGGTTGTAAATAAGAAATAGAAGCAAAGTTTTATATGCCTGTATACCTCTAATTTTTATCAAAACTCTACAGAGAATTGTAAAAAATTATTGTTTAATAATATTTAGTTTGGTGAGGACAGGATTTACCGACATTTAGAGCCAGCCCTGGCCTTCCAGCTGGAGATCAACAGACTGAGGAACTTTGACCTGGAGGCCATTCAGACCAACAACTACAAGATGCATCTATACCTGGGAAAAGCTAAGGTAGAATTTAACTTGGTTGTGATTAAAGGGAGAGAACTCTTATTGTATTTGTAATTCAGATTAAAAAAAGCCTAGTAGACCTCATTTGTAAACAATTCAAGTGTTTTGAAAATTAATGAATAAATATACAGTACCGACCGGACACAACCTAACAGAAAGCGAACCCGGAGCGGACCCCGGGTTCGCTCTCTGGGTCTGCTCCGGGTTCGCTCGGGGTCCGCTAGGGCTGACCCCGAGCGAACCCGGAGCGGACCCCAAGCGAACCCGTAGCGGACCCAGAGCAAACCCGAGGCGGACCCAGAGAGCGAACCCCAAATTCAGTAGCGGTCCCAGCGAGCGAACGCAGGTTCGGTATTTCTTTACGGAGCTGTCAATCAGGATTAGCGATTAACCAATCAGCGTGTCAACCAATCAAAATAGCATATTGATCTGTCGATTGGGATATAAGATCGAACGTGTTGATTTAATTTGATTTTAATCCAAACACTACATACAAGCAAACCGTTTTAATGTGCTGTGTAAATCTATTATGATGATTATGATGATTAAAATACGATTTGATATTATTTATTTTAATTCTCCGGGTTGTATTTCATATTTATATATTTACTTCCTTTATTTTATTAAAGCAATTATTTGTTAATAATTATTAATTTGTTTTAATTTTCCGCGTAGAATTATACATGAAAATTTACGTTTTTATTTCCTTTAGTTTTTTATACCAGTATTGAAAGTCCATTTGATAAATAAATTGGGTAAATACATCAGTCAATGCATGAAAATGGAAATTAATTGATATTACATTTAGTATTCTATACTGACAAAAAGAGGAGAAAAGAAATAGTTGGTCTTCGACAATTATTGTAAAATTTCGTTTTCTCAAGATACTTACAGTTCAGGAATATTAACTAGCTCAATATTTAAATAAAAATAGATACAGGAAACATAGAGACGAGAGAGAGAGAGAGAGAGAGATCATCACTATAAACTCTCATTATTAGACTTGATTTTAATAATAAAGCCTGATGACTTACTCAAATTTTTATGAGCCGTCCTCCCAAGATTGTACTCAAATTGTTTTCTATAAACCTGCTGAAGCTATTTTTTTTAAGTATACATGTACAGGAAGATAATATAAAAGCACTAAGAATAACCAACAGTTTTCGGGACGCTCTGTCACTTCCGCGGGACAAAGAAAAAAAATTAAAAAGTCATAAGATCGAAGGAAAAAGAGAAACCAAAAACAACTAGCACTATAAACACTATATATTTACTTAGTTACCTGTTAAATTGGAAATATATATAAACACTATTTAAGAGTCATTCTCTGTAAGAATCAAAGGATTCAGAAAAAAGTTGGAAATGGTACATCACAGATTTGGCTGATTTTTTGCATGCAATGTAGAAACACCATGTATAGAACATTTTTGGGGTTAATTTTTTATTTTGAGTCCCGGTTGCCATGGTAACCAAAACCACCATTTTGAGGCCAAAAATACAGAGCAACCTACTGAAAGTATACATGATCTTCATCATAAATTCCTATGTTCTATATATTATTTACAGATTTAACTGTTGCTTACTCTGATAGACTATTTTTTGGAGTAACTACCACAACTGATGAAATTATTCAATAGTAGGTCAGGAAAGAGTTGTTTTTCAGTGAAAAGTGTGAATTTTTGAAATTTTAACAAATTTGAAAAAATGCCATTTTTTGGCATTTTCTAAGCATAGTAGCAAGAAAACGCGGGCAATCCATAACAAACAACTACCATCACTGAAAAGTTCATTCCTTACTCAACAAAATATAAAATTTCTAGAGAGGTATTATTTCTTAAATTAAAATAAAATGAAAACGAAAATGGTTGCTATGGGGAATTTGGATTAATTTGTAGGTTCATCATTTGGCTCCTTTTTTGTACACTATAGCTTTAAAAAAAATTAAAAGTAAAACAAATCACATTAATAAACCTCGTCATTTTAATATACTTTGATAAAAAATGTAATTTCATAAATTAAAGAAAAATTATGTGTTACTATAGCAACGAAATTCAGGAAAAATCACTATAACTATTGACGTTATCACTATGCAGAATCTGTGGCCTCAGTGCATGATTTAATTTATTCATTTAAATAGATAACACTTATTATATTTGTTATTTCACCTTTGTACATTTGAAAAAAATATTTTTAAAAATTCAATTGTCTAAATTCATAATGCCATGGTAACTAGACAGTTTTCAGTCTTCCTTTTTGTTTTTGTTCACAATTTACTGACAAGTTAACAACAAAAAATATAATAGCTTTATTTATGATTATTTTCTTTTTCATTAAAATAAATTGAATATAATTGTATTTCACTAAATATCAAAATAAAATAGTAATTCATATTTTAAAAAAAAAAAATGGTTGCTATGGCAGCCAATAATTCAGGAAAATCCTATTCATTGATATTTTTAATATACAAAATCCACTTCCTTATTGCACGATTATATGTCTTCTTCAATAAAATAAGTCACATTAACCTTCTCATTTCACTAACATGAAAATAGAAATTCATAATTTTAAAAAACCCAGTTGCTATGGTAACCAAATAATTCAGGATGATCCAAATATTTATTGATTTACCAGTATACAAAACCCATAGCACTGTCACAAATGTTTGATTATATTTACCGGGACAAAAACAGATGAATTCAAACTTAAACTGATCACATACAATGTACTGTATATATATCTCAACTACTGCAGCAGGATTTGTTTCCATTGAAACAATAAGTACCAATATAAAATCATGACCGATCTTTTTGAAGCAACTTGCTTTACTTATTGAAACATATACACAGTTTACTTAGTTTGAGTAGGACAAGCACATAGTTAAGAGTGCCCCCCCCCCCCCCCACTTCCTCGATTCAACTTGATTGTTTTGCTGTTGTTGAATTGATCTTTTGCTGTTCCTTTAGTAAGGAATTATTATACCACCTCTACAAAGGAGAGGGGGGTATACTGATTTACTTTTGCGTGTCTGTCTGTCAGTCTGTCCTGTCTGACCCAGGCTAGCTGCCTGTGCAGCTGTAGTTAACAAATTTTTGGTGTCGGTTTTCTCAGCAACTATTCATTGAAGATGCTTGAAATTTTAGCACAGTATTTTCTACGGCATACCATATATATTGGGTACCATTGAAGTGTAAATCTGGTGTCAACTTCTTTTTTATGCGTGTGTCTGTCCATACCATACATAACAAATTTTTGTTGCAGTTTTCCCAGAAACTACGCATTGCAGATGCTTGAAATTTTAGCACACTCTTTGCTAAGGCATGCCATATGGTAGGATCCATAATTTTTGTTCAAATCCAGGGACTGTAGCAACAGGGGGCCTGCCCCCCCCCCCCACTTTTTTCCCCGAGCATTACCTTTACTATAGGAAATGTTCATTGAAGGGATAGTTGCCCCCCCCCCCCCCCATCCCCACTTTTTGACCATAGTATAGTGATATCAAAGAATTATGGAAAAAAATTGGAATTGAAAGTAACTTGGCTTTGAAAAGTTTGCCACTAACACCCCCCCCCCCCCTCCCTTCCCAAAATCTTGTTGAAACGATGAATTTTGACATCTCTTCCATATTATACTTTCCCCCTGAAAGAATATAGCATGTCCCTCAAATTTTGCCAAAACAATATGCTAGGGGAATAAATTATTTTTTATGTGGCTCATTTTCCATTTTTCTTTCCATCATTTACAATCTAGCTCAAGCACAAAGAAACTGTTGAAGAGAAAAATGTCAATCATCCACATTAAGAATGACAATCAAAATTCAATATGTAATTTAAAGATATTATGATTGTGTTCTTCCTCATTTAAGCACAGGGGTTAAAATAAGTATTAGAGAAAGTGCAATTAGATGGAAAGCATATAATACAGACCACCGCTGCTCTTATTTAGGTCCAAAAAATTGTCTGTCGGGGCTATGCTACTGAGAGTGAACTCCCTATTTATAAGCTTTTGAAATTCTATAAACAGAGAACCTCATTTTGACTCAAAGTGAGTGTGATATTACCTTAAGTATACATCGATATTTATATAGAAAAAAATATAATTATCTGAAATAGTTTTTTTTTTGTTAAAGTAAGGAAGGGGGGGGGGGTCAATAAAATGTTACCGACCACTCCAATCTAAAACTATTTGGAAAGCTTCTTTTAAAGAATAATTTCTAGAACATAGAGTCCATAAATGGAATACTGAGAAGTCCTCATAAAATATGTCAAAATCAAATATTATACATTTATTGCATGATAGTGAGGGAAATATGAAAACTTATTCAGCCAAGAAAAATCATATTCCTCGAGGGTATCGCCCGAGGGGAAAATGATATTTCTTAGCTGAATAAGTCTTCATGTTTCCCGAACATTCATGCAATGAATTGTTTATTATACGGAAACAAGCAAAACCTATGAAATAAACATAAACTTTCAAATTCGGCACCGCTCTCAAATTCACTTTCATTGTTGTCAGATAACGCGTTGTGTAGAATATTTATAATGAGGTATAATAAAATATTTTTCTTTCTCGGCTATAATTTGGGCACATAAATCCACGGGCACTGGAAGTTAATGTAAATATATATAATGCTGTATGTGCATGTACATGTATAAAAAAAAACCTTTTTCTATTCATGCACATTTATATTTTAATTACATTAACTTCCAGTGCCCGTGCATAAATCTATGATTTCAACAACATTTTACATGGCCCTAGTGACGCGGAGTATACAAAGCAAAACAGGGACAGGGAACCAGACTACAGTAAAGTGTATTCATTGTATTATAAATTTGGCTTCAGTTTAACTGTGACAGCGTTTTGCTATGACAAAAAATCTTAATAATTATATAATTTATTTTCTCTTTGCTGCAATAAAAAACTCTGTTAGGAAATGAATTTCTAAGTTCTAATCTTTCAATTTTATGCAATAAGTTCCTAAATGAAAGGACACATGTCACCCATGATCATCCCCATTCACAATAAAAATTTGCATCAATAAATTTCAGACCTGCACAAACTGAAATCTAAAAGAAAATTGCTATTTTTTCACGTATTCAGTTTAGCGATGTGATTTCATAAGGTCAACCTTTAAAATAAAAAAAATAAATTTATCAAAAAAAAAAAAAAAAAAAAAAAAAAAAATTCTAAAAAAAAAAAAATGATGAAATACCTTGCATGACAATAACTTTTTAGCACCCCCCCCTCCTTTTTTTCAAGCACACAATTAGAAAGCTGTTATGAGGTATTTAGCTTTTGTCATATACAGAATTAATTTATTTTCATTTGTTTAATATATAAATTTTTTATCAACAGATAGTTAATATAATTTTCATCCACATCTGATTTTAAGAAGAATGATAATATGCCTAGACTATAAATTATTGATATAAGATATAATTTATTAGATTCATGTCATTATTTATGTTTTGGGTACTTTAATGTTTTTTTTTTTTTTACTATACATAGTATGTCGTACCCTATTATTAATAATCTCATACAAAAATGTGCAACTGCCAGGTTTTAATAAATGTGTGCGTGGTAAATATTTCATTGGTACTTGCCTAGTGATCTTCTTATTGCCAGGTACCTTAATTTCTACATCACAACCTTATCAATGTTATCATTGGCGGATCCAGAAGGGGGGTCGGGGGTCCGGGGGTAATAACCTTATTATCCCACTCTTAGCTCTGAAGTCCATTTTTAATGATGTTACTTTGTTTTAAACATTTTTTAAATGATGCAGCACTTGTCACAAAGGCAGGAATTTCATAAGGTGCAATCCATTTTCAAGTTTAATTATCAACTCTATCTGTCTATACACACACACATATACTGTATATCTCTCAGACACAGTAGAGCCTGAGCAAACATTTAACAGTTTAACTATGGGAATAGTAAATACTTCACAAGTTGGATTAAAAACCCTGAAAATATCCAAAACAGACAGGATTTTCTCCTCCAAGTCGTTTTCTGCTGTGTACTTTCACTTTCATTTTCATCGATTTAAGCAAAAGATTTCCGAAAGGGGAAATAACTCGTGCCAAAAATGTGTGTAAATTTAGATATTTTTACAAAGTTTACAATCAATTTATTTTCTTAAAATAAATAATACCTCTCCAGTTTTTTGATATGTTCTTAATAAATGTTTAAGGTAAAATTCAGAGCATCAGAATATTCCACTAGTGCCTGCGTTTTTTGTGTACATAGTTGTGTTCAACCCCCCTTTTTCAAAGCAATTTTATACATAATTTGGCAATTTATGGCAGGTCCAAATATTTTTTTCAACTTCTTGTATAAAAAATACAAATAACAAATTATTTCAAAGAAATAAAAATAATAATAATCACCATAATTAATTAAATGCACTTAAATGGGAAGAAATATCATTTTAGGTATTTTCCACCCATGTGCAAAAACAGGTAACCTGGTTGCCATGGAAACAAGACGAATTGATCACTTTCAATATTATTTTTGAAAATCAGGCTTATAATGTAATTATTTCACCGGGTTTCAACAAAATCCGTGAGATTCAATTTCCAGCCCATTTTGATGCTTACAGAGAATGACTCTTAAGAAAGAAATCCGGACCGCTATGAAATAAGTCTGGTTTATCGGGGTATACTCAAGTGAAGTGCGATTTACATAATGGAACGAATTAATTACGCTAATTGATCACAACATTTAGTAAATCGTACATTGTTTCATTCTCTCAAAAATGCGCAACTATACTTGACAAAGAATAATCAGATAAAAATAATATAGAAGGGATATTTTAACATATGAATTATGATCTATTATACATTTTAAAATGTTTTAGGACTAATTATTGGGAAAAAAATAATTAATAAAGGCGTAAGGAATACATAGTTATGTGGGCTGTTCGAGAGTTGGTATCGCAAAATAACTGTAGAGTTACACTTAATTGAAAGAATAATCTTGTTAAGTATCATCAGGCATTGGGTCTAATTCACGTTCATATTTTTTACGAACTTTTAGTGTGAAACTACAATAATAATAAATGAAATGTAAATATACCAGATGTACAAAAGGTTACATGTAATTTATACATGTAGATGCGATATCATAATTCAGGTGTTAAGCAAACATTTAAACTGAGATTTAGCAAAACGTAAGGAATAACAAATGTTTTTTAACTATATAAGCATGAATTCTAAAGGTATTTAGTTAGTCAGTTTCACTTGTACACCATTCGATACTGAAAATCAATTTAACACTCTTTTTTGTTTTTTCGTTATAACTTAAGAAAAATAAATGCCTTATAACCCGCTGTTAAATTAGTTTGAATTTCTCGGGATCGAGAAATCAAGAAAATCAATTATTCATGTACATGTAAATCTATGTCGAATGTACAGTTGAATTTAAGAAAAAATATCAATGTTCTCCATTATATAACTGTTTACATGTTCAGTGTACATGCCCGCATCGTCGCATAAACAACAATGATCGATCAGCAATACCATTACTGTATTGGAATATACAAGGGGCGGGGCTTACTGGCGGTGAGATTAAAGCGGGATCCGCTTCACGCATCAGTGCGTAAAGCGGTCCCAGGAAGCGAACGCCGGGTTCGCTATAGCGGACCCAGAGCTGACCCCGAGCGAACGCGGAGCGAACCCGGAGCGCACCCAAAGCGCACCCGGAGCGGTCCTAAAATTTCTGAAAGCGAACCCGAAGCGGACTCCGAGCGAACCCGGGAAGCGAACCCGGGGTCCGCTCCGGGTTCGCTCTGGTGTTAGGTTGTGTCCGGTCGGTACTGTATGTCTTATCTTATTGAAATCATATTATTTTTATTAAAGTTTGTTGCTCTACATAAATTTGTGGGAAATTGAAGTTGATTGAAAAATTTCATTATGTTGCAGACTCCGAACAAAGTTGATTGTATATCCAACAGTCCAATAAAAGGGACCTAACTCTGTGAAACTTACATTATAAACTGATTTGTTTATTGTATAACAGGTGGCAGCAGGACAGGAAGTGACGGATTACAGATTCTTTGTGAGGGTCATCATCAGGCACTCCGACCTCGTCACCAAGGTAAATACAGACAATGAATCGGCACAAAAATTTTTCTTCTCAAAAGGAAAAATAAATATGTTTTGATGCAAAAACAGTTACAACTGAAGATATTGTCTGATTTATACCATCCCAAACAAAAACTTTTCTTAACAAATCATGCCAAAATCACATACAAACCATACCAAACTCACAAATTCATGATTTTGAACTATGATTTAGACATGATCCATTAAATGGATCATACTGAAATCATAGATGACAAATAAGGAAGTATGATCCTGACGTGATTTGTTTCTGGGGAATGAGTCTGCTATGATTTTCTTGCGATTCTGACATGTGCCATTAACTTAGAAAACAAAGGAACATGAGTTTGAAATGATTCGTTAACTTTAACTGCTAAAAGTTTGTGATTTTGATATGGTTTCTTAACTTAGTCTTTAAACTCCATACGAGTTACACATGATCTGTTAACTTCTCTTTTGAGAACCATGAGTTTTATATGATTTGTTAACTTTGTCAGAATTGGTTGTATGATCCTGAAATGGTTTGTTAACTTTGTCATCTATGATAGGTGAAAATGCAAGCTTTAAATTCACTTTAACTTGGAGAATCAAACAACATGCATACATTAATAAAAGTCTTATTTAAAAGAAAACAGGAAAATTAAGTTTTAATAATTAAAATGCACACAGCATGTACAGGTATAGTAACAAAGACTATATTTTTTTTAAGTTGAATGAAATGACAAACAAATTTAATACAATAATTCATATTTAAATTAGCACACATGTATTCTGTTTAAATAACGCAGCCAGGTTTTATTAAAACTCTTTCTCTTCATGTAATATTTGTGATCCACTCCCAATCTAACTTTGAAGCATTAGATTAGGATTGGATCACTGGTCAGTTTCAGAGTCGTAGTAACCTTGTTATGCAATTCTCCTGCTGGGCAGCACGCTGTAGTACAGTGGTTTGTAGCTGATCTAGGTCAGAATTTGAATTCTGATAAACATGATGTGCGCGTTTTCTTGTTGCCGATTTAAAAGAAAAGCCTTTGCATCATATAAGCAATAAAAATAAGTGCTGGACTATTAACTCTATACTCGGTGAGTATAATTCATTAATTTTATTGTTGACCTTTTTTAATTTCTAGTTTATACCAGCAAGTGCATGATAATATGTTTTTTTTGTAAATGTGTAGAAGAGACATAGCAAAGCTTTACATGGATTTGAGTTGAAAACAATTTAAGCATCAAATTGACCTCGTTGATTCAAATATTTGTTGTACATGTACATGTTAATCGTTATATAAAATGTTTATTTATAAAAATGAAATTCTTTTGCAGCTACAGACATTTCCATCTTCATGATTAACATCTGAGTTGCATTCAAATTAACAAATTCAAAAGACCCGCCTTTGGTGAAGACAAAATTTGTGTACGTAAATAATATTACATTTCAACAATAGTATTCTTTTGGTGATTAATCTAATTCTTTTCACTAATGCAATGGGGAAAGTATTGAATATTTCATATTTTCATGATCTAAAGATAATGATATGTTGATCGATAAATAAATACCACTTTCTCTACGTTTCTTTTTAGGGTGCTTACGTACACATATAAAGAGCTTATATCAGAGGATAGACTACTTCATTGAGAGCCCTCTCAGTGTTTGTGATTCTGAAAAAAAGATCCACCACTCTGCTGATTCTGTAGTGAACAGATGTTGTAATTATATGCTTTTGCATAATCATAAATAAGCAGTGATATCAGTGAGTTCCGGATTATTCTTTAAGAAGAATGGATTTCTGTGATTCTGTTCTTATAAAATTCAGTGAATAGTTTGGATAATGTTTTATATTTAAATCGTCATCTTATTAAGGAAGATCATTTGTTGGGATTATATTTATATGACGTCATGGTTCATGTGACATATGTGTATAATATTTTTCTTAATTTTTGGTAACTGAAATTATTTCTCAAATATTAAAGAGAACTTTATTGCAAATATCAAAGTGTTTAGTAAAATTGTATAAGAAGTAGAATTTTCCTATGACTTGTTCAATTTAACAGATCATACCAGGATCATGATTTTGATACGAGTTGTTAGCTACAACAGATCATACCAGGATCATGGTTTTAATACGAGTTGTTAGCTACAACAGATCATACCAGGATCATGGTTTTAATACGAGTTGTGAGCTACAACAGATCATACCAGGATCATGGTTTTAATATGAGTTGTTAGCTACAACAGATCATTCCAGGATCATGGTTTTAATACGAGTTGTTAGCTCTACAACAGATCATACCAGGATCATGGTTTTCGTGCTGGTTGTTTAGTTTAACAGATCATCTCAGAACCATGATCCATTAGCTCATTTGCATGTGAAATTTTCCTATACCGAAATCATATCAAAACCATGATTTACACATGAGTTGTTAGCATGATCCGATAGGCTGTTTTTTCTGTTTGGGATCATGTGTATATGCATTTTTGCACTTCTTTATTTTCCTCCCCTAAATTCTAAATTCTACTAGATTCAAAAATCCAATCAAGCAAAGTATTTCTTATCAAAGTTGTCCAATTTATGTGTGTATGTGCTCTATTTTAAACAAACACAAGCCTTAAGTAACACTGAACTGACAAGTTTCTAATGCTTTTAATTTATTTCGTTAGGAGGCATCTTTTGAGTACCTACAAAATGAAGCAGAGAGAACCCCCCTGGAGGCTTTGGATTCATTAGAAGTGGCGTTCTCACATCCACTGGTGAGTTAGGGTTGATAAAGTCCAGTAAATTCAATTATTTCCATTGATTTAAATTTTATTGGTATGCAGAAAAAGTATTGGTTCATGGGGATTAAATTCTGTGGTTAATGTAAACAAATATGGTACTGGAGTTTGTAAGTTTCAATTTAATTTTCTGGAGGACACAATATTTAAAGAAAATCTTTGTACCTTGAAAAACAAAAATTACCCCCAACCCACCCCCACAAGAATTAGTAATTTCACAGTATTTCAAAATTTATCAAAGTGATGTTTTCAGTTTGTATCAGAATTAACACTCATGATACTAAATAGATCTTGTGTTATAATTTCAGTCCAAGAAGACTGACTGTAACCACATATTCCTGAACTTTGCACCAACTCTGACCATTCCAGAACCAGGCAAGGTAAATTCAACATTACCATATAATATACTCATGTTTGAATATAAATACCACTCATTTTCTTACCATTTCTGGTTATTACCATTGTGAATCTACCATAACTCTGTGTTTACTTATATCTCGACAGCTGGAGGAGACAGTCAGAGCTATGGTGATGAGGTACGGCAGCCGTCTCATGAAGATGAGAGTTCTTAACGCTGAGCTCAAATTCACAATCAAGTAAGTCTACTTCTTAACTCTCAAACTTCTTATGAGACAAATAGTTTTGGTTGTAAACACATGTACAATGGATATTTAGCTCTAAAGACAAAAATTCTGGAAAAGCTTTTAACATACAACAAATATTTTGGAATGTTTTAGGTTTGCATCCAGTGACACAAGCATTCCTATTCGTCTGTTTTTGACCAATGAGAGTGGATATTACTTGGACATGAGCATGTATAGGGAGGTCACAGATCCTAACATGGGACAAGTATGTCTTTCAGTTTATCAGTCTGTTTTTACTTGCACTTTAATGACATTTTCTGCATGTTCAGTTAATTTGTGCCAAGCTGAATCATGTAAAAAAAAATCTGAGAAGAGTTGGGGTATGTAGATAAATGTGCAGTTAGTGGGTTGGGGAAGTTAAGGGCAATATATTGTTTTTAGTATTCTTTGCCTGCCAAATACATTTTCCACATTTATAATTTGTATTGATAATTTATTTGAACAATGTCAAAAAATGCAACATACATACAAACTGTTTAGTTCAAGACTTCATATCAGGTCAAGGTCATATTTTCAGAGTAAATAAGGGGTTTTATTTTACAAGAGTTTGACATCATTTTGGAATTGTATTTTATGAGCATTTGAGGTTTCTTGATACAGTCAAAACTGCCATAGCGACCCACTTTATTAAGCGACTCACTGTCACATGTGACTGTAAAAATTCCCCCCAAAGCGTTTCCCTATGTAATCTACCTGTATTAAACAACCACCTGTCTAGCGCGACCAACGACCGTGATTTTCCTAAACATTTTTAATAATTTCAAGCAATTTTACCTGAATTTAACGACTACATAATTTCCGATTCTTACTTTCAAATTCAGTCGAGCATGCATCGTTTTTGGTTCAAAACAACTACAGACATGCTTTTATTTCATTTAATAATTATATAATGCAAGTTTTACGAAGAAAAGAACATTTAAAAATGAACATTTTTACTTACGCTTTGATATTTATTGAATAAACATTAAAATGTAAAACATAAACATCACGTTTTTCTAGCCAGTTATCGGGTGCCATTTTGGAAAAAGACGTTAGAGGTCGATCCCGATATTATTTCATGCTATGAGGATAAATAGATTTTCAGCTATAAAACCTGCCTGTTTAACTTTAATTAACAAGTAGCTAAACCATAGATGTTTATTTAAGTGCATTGTGTCACCTATGGGTATGTAAACACAAGCTAGCTTGCACCCACACCATGTGTTAATTGAAGTGATTTAAATACCGGTCACAAACACAGGCAATTAGACACGATAATTCAGTAATGGAATAAAATTTCAGTCAGAAAAATAATTAAATTTGATACCAAATGCATAACAAAATTATGATACCGTTTTTATTCTTGGTAATATGTAAAACAACAAAGTTATATACTTGGCTATCATGTAAAAAAAAACCCAACTATATTATTAGGGGGAAAAAACCTTTGCAGCTTTTTTATACTGTTTGAAAAAAAATATTAATATTTTCAGATGTTCACAATATTTTCCAATATTCAAATGACTCATGTGCGGATCAAAAATTTTTTATTTCTTAACAGGACAAATGTAAAAGCATTTTAAAGTTGAGCAGTACCTTTTAAAAAGTGGAAATAAACATAAGGTGTTATAAAATACATTCAACATACATTTGAACACTGCGGAAAATAGGCAACCTGTATTAAGAGACCACCTGTCATATGTGACCTTTTTTCCTTTCTCCGTTGGAAGGTCTCTTAATACAAGTTTGACTGTATTTTATCCTGGTTTAGATTTAGGCCTTTTTATCAAACTCTTGGGTACATTTTCCAGGTGATGTTTGAGGCCTATGGAACAAAACAAGGGGCCCTTCACGGTCTACTGATTAGCACCCCCTACCCCACAAAGGACCACCTACAGCTGAAGAGATTCCAGGCCCAGTCAAGCGGAACAACTTATGTCTATGATTTTCCAGGAATGTTCACTCAGGTATCACAACATGGCTATAAAATAAGATAAAACACCTACTGAGAAAGCAACATTATGACAACAATTATCAAGGAAATTGAAATCCTCAAGAAAAATTTTTATACAGACAATGTTATATAATGGTTACTTTTGGAACAAGAAAATTAAGTCCCAATGTTATCAATTTTTATTTTTTTTCAATCAAAAATACCTGCTTCCATTTATCTAATTTTTTCAGCATATTTCATAATTAAAAGTTAAAAAACAATAGAAAGGTGATTAGTAACAGAAGTTTAGCTGTTGTAGGATGACTGTTTTGAATCATGTCTCTCTCTTTCAGGCCTTACAGAAGTTTTGTTGTTCTGTATTTCAGGCCTTACAGAAGTTTTGTTGTTTTGACTTTGTTGTTCTGTATTTCAGGCCTTACAGAAGTTTTGTTGCTTTGACTTTGTTGTTCTGTATTTCAGGCCTTACAGAAGTTTTGTTGTTTTGACTTTGTTGTTCTGTATTTCAGGCCTTACAGAAGTTTTGTTGTTTTGACTTTGTTGTTCTGTATTTCAGGCCTTACAGAAGTTTTGTTGTTTTGACTTTGTTGTTCTGTATTTCAGGCCTTACAGAAGTTTTGTTGTTTTGACTTTGTTGTTCTGTATTTCAGGCCTTACAGAAGTTTTGTTGTTTTAACTTTGTTGTTCTGTATTTCAGGCCTTACAGAAATTTTGTTGTTTTGACTTTGTTGTTCTGTATTTCAGGCCTTACAGAAGTTTTGTTGTTTTAACTTTGTTGTTCTGTATTTCAGGCCTTACAGAAACTTTGTTGTTTTGACTTTGTTGTTCTGTATTTCAGGCCTTACAGAAGTTTTGTTGTTCTGTATTTCAGGCCTTACAGAAGTTTTGTTGTTCTGTATTTCAGGCCTTACAGAAGTTTTGTTGTTTTGACTTTGTTGTTCTGTATTTCAGGCCTTACAGAAGTTTTGTTGTTTTGACTTTGTTGTTCTGTATTTCAGGCCTTACAGAAGTTTTGTTGTTTTGACTTTGTTGTTCTGTATTTC